TATTCAGTCCATACCCTCTAGTTCTAATATAGCTGCATTCAATTTCAAGAATATACCTTAGAGAATATACCCTTTACACTGAACTTTTCTGCTTCTTTGCTCATTGAAAAAAAATGTAAAAACTTTACACTATTTAAGATTTATACAAAAAGAAAAACTGAAGTCTTCTAAACATCCTTTCACTAAACTGTTACAGAACTTTTAAACAACTTACATAAATATAGGTCAGGAAGAGCCTATAAAACAAGATTGACTCTGCCAATTTTGATTGTGTGAGATCGAGCACTTGATTTTGCACAAATTTAAGAAAATTATTAAGCCTATTTCTCCATTGTGATCATTAAGAAAACATCGCACAGAAAACAGATTGAATGACAACCTGTTCTATCAACAGCTGGGAGAGAATTATAACATCTGAGCATTAGATTAAACAATTGGATGTCAAAGGAGGAGAAAGTCCACGAGTAAATAGAAGGAAATTGAACCAAATATGGTCATGACAGCTCCATATGATGACATCTTAACGTCATCAACAGCTACCTGTGACCACACACCTGCATATTCGTTGCTAAACATCCTATCACCTGACAGGTTTTCCCAGGCAAAATCAGATAAAAGGGAGGCTAGAACTCGAATTGAGGTGGACTTCAGCAAAAGCCATACATCGGCAGACATCTCCAGCCAGCCTGTTCCAGCAGACACCTTCAGACTTGTCATAGCCAGTCTGACATATCCTAAGACACCATACAGAACTGAAGCCACCCAAGGCCCAACTTAGAAGCAGCCAATACAACACCTCTATATGAAGACCAACATTGACCCAATATTCCCGGAGATCATCAAATTGTATATCTACTAGAGGTAAATGCTTAGCTCATATGTAAACTCTCTCTATTGGAGTATAGAAACATAAAAACGGAATAGATGGCCCAAGTGAGATACTCAGTCATTTAATAACCTTTTAGTCATGTAGCTTTAATAGTTTATATGGTAATGTATTGTAGCCGTAGATTTACCTAGTTATTAAACGTATGTTATGTTTATAAACTTGACTGCCTGTCATTTCTTAGAACCTATCAACTTACCGACCTCTCCATTTGAGAATTTAGACCCTCCTATTCAATCTTTGTTCACAATTTGTAGGTTAGGATGCATTTAATTCTATCCTAACTGGTGTCAGCATCCTGACGTTGGCTGGATCTTGCAATCCCGCCGATAATTCATCGAAGCACCATCCAGTTGACAACAAGACAGACTTTACCAACCTGAGGCCAAACAAAGGATTTGGGACCTCCTACCTGCAGCTAATCTCACAATTGTGAAAGGATATTTAGAAGACTTCAAAAGTTTTTCTTTTTGTACAAAACTTAAATGGAGTGTATTTTTACATTTTTTAAAATATATATTTTATTCTGGATTTTCTTTTCTCTTCTCTTTCCAAGCTCTTTTACACTTCCAACTCTGTTGCCCTTCTTTCAATTCTTGGCACTTCCTCTATGTGAAATCATGCTCTTTCTTTTCACTAACATTTTGTACTATGGAATGCATAATAAAGTACAAATTTATAAATGAAATATGTAGTCTTAGAGATTGTGAACACTTCTTATAGTAACTACTGATCAACTGCAGGGACAAGCCTAAGAGTATGAAAGGGAATTTCCAAGGCGCAACTGAGAAAGGAGATTCCCCATACTGGATTCCTGGTTATAAGTCTAAGTGGTCATTAAACAATAATTAATAACCAAACACGTTTATCGTTACCGAGAAAATTTAAATTAAAAACAAACGTTTTCGACCTATTACATAGGCCATCGTCACAATGGACAATTGGAAGATTCTGTTTTAATTAAATTTGTTTTTTAATTAATAAATTTTAATTAAATTCCAATTTGTTTTAATTAAATTTTCTCAGCAACGATAAAGGTGTTTGGTTATTAATTATTATTTTGCTGAGCACATTCCTTTTAAACATTAAATAATAGGTCATTATGTGAGGAGTGGCTGTATTTTATTGTTGAATTTTTCCATTTTTTTAAAAATAACTCATCTGTGACTTCATGATTGTAATAAACCAAACTATTGCTATAATTAATCAGGCTACCAAGCTGCAGGGTCTCAAAAAACACTTAGTGTTGCTTCAGTATTCATGAGAAGGGTCGCAAGAGCTACATGTATCCAGAATGATGGCTTTTTGAATGTTATAAGAAAGAATTTTAGTATTTAAGGCCTTCAGATGAGTTTGGAAAGTTATTGGGAATACACCTGTGGAGGATAAGCTATAGGACAGATATATGCTCTCTCCAGTTTCCATAAGTTTTTGACTTCAATTGCCAGTCTTTGTTTTTCTCAATTTTGACTGTAAATCCTGTTTGTAAATTTTGGTTATACAGGACGTTGGTGTCAATTAGACCTGTTTTGTCTTTTCAATAAGTGTGATTATCAAGCCTATTGACAGAAAAGGTTTTATCTGTTCTTATCTCTCTTTGTATAATTTAGTCCTCACTGTCAAGGACATCAGAATGATAGTATTTCTAATACAGTGTAAATTCAGAAAGGTCAGTCATAGAGCTATATGATGGTGTATTATTTTTTGGGACATTATTTTACCTTTTCATGTACTCTGTGTTAACAGTTTACATCATCTGATATGATCGACAGTCTCACCAGTCTGGTGACACTATTGAAATTCATTTTCGGTGTTTTATTTGAGAATGTGCTTCCTGTAATTTTGTGTTGCTATTACCTTATCCTGAATTGCCATCATAAAACCATTGTCTGTGCATATAGATCATCACATTTGAACCACTGGTTTGATGCTGTTTTGTTGACAGTCTTTAAAGAGATGGTATTCATGGTTGTATTTGTTTGGATTGCTAGTACTGTAGAAAATTATGGTCCCTAAACTTTTTCCATATTGTATGTTATATTATATATGAAAGGTGTTATGTCAGTGTCTGAGGAACACACAGTTCAGTAGAGTTTGTACTCTTCTATTTTTGTTAGGAAGTATTTTCTTTAGCTTTTGATCTATCTTGTGTGAAGTTATCTGATTTTAATAATTCTAAGTCCACTGTCATCAGTGGAAGTGTGACTTCACTGCAGACTTGTGTGTCTCATACAATGGTTCATCAGTGATAACTCTTAATGCAATTAGCGAGTTATTTAGTTTTGTATTTGTCCATTTGATGATACCAAAAGAGTGTGCGAGTATACAGGTAGTAATTTTATTTATCAGTATTTCAGAGAGAAATTTGTACATTGTAGGTAAGCATGTAATAGTGTAGTATTCACCATGTTGCTAGTTTGCTGCTGCTTTTGTATAAGGAATGTTATTCTCTTTAGAACAGCAGTTGGGTTTTGGATGAATTTGTTGTACATCTTTGCAAGTGTGTTACAAAAGCATGGCAGTTATATACCAGAAATTAGCTTTTCCTTGCTTTGTTTCAACTGTTGGTATATAGCTGCCTTTCAACTTTGTATTTTAATTCTTGTTTTCTGTCTTCTTTTTCAGTCTATATTTGGTTAGTCCTAGTCGTAAGTTAGCTTAGGGACTCTTAACTTGGTTTCTGGTTAGGTTATGCTAGGTTAAGTTAAATTAGATTAGGGTTTGTTAGCTTTAGTTGTCTGGTTAGGTTTATTCTAGGTTATAGTAGGTTAATTTAGTTAGTGAGTAAGTTGACATTTAAAAAAAAATAAATAAATACATAAAAAATATGATGATAAAAAAATAAATAAAAATTTTGGGGTCTTGCAGTTTGTCTCTGTCAGTCTGTTTGTCTTGTCTAATTTGTCATCATGTTCGTATGCTTTTCGCACTGTCTTGTCTTGTCTTATCTAGCTGTTAAGTAGTATTAAGATTCGCGATCGCATTCAGTTTTATTAGTATTAATTAGCTATTAGTCTTCCTACTAACAGCCACTTGGCACTAATTTCTACACTTAGCTCAACACAGTTCAAAAATTGGGGATATCCTCCATACAACACAATTTCCAGTTTCACTCTAACATGGTTTTGGAAATTCTCCATAAAAAATTCCATACAATTTTTAAATGTAAACTTTGTTATTCAATATTTTTTTTATTCAAGTAAACATGCGTGTTGTCTCAAATTTGCCCATAGATTTTAGAATAATGAAATTTTCTAATTATTTTGTACTTTTTGTTCGGTTTACTTTAATTAAAACTGGTAGGACAAGGAAGAAAAAATTGCACTAGCTTTCTTATAAACTAGGTGTTGTGGTTGCTTTAAGATTTTAAAACTGTCACTGTGTCTTCTATTTATAGACTAATGTTCATATTTAGTAATGTTTATTTAAACATTTTTAGATAAGTGATATTAAACTTTTTTTAACTGTAGGTAAGCAATCATTCATAAAATGATGAGTGAACTACAGCAGTATCTTTGTACTTGAACAATTTGGTATTTGAACACAAATTCTGGAAAAAGTCACTTTGTCTCATATAGCACAGATTCAACTGAACAAACACAACTCTTTAGAAAAATTTTCATTTAATAACATTTTTATTTTGTCATTCATAAAAAATTTTTTTATGATAAAAATAAAAAAATAAGAAAATGTTGCTGATACTTCTGATCAAGATTTAAAAAAAAAAGCTGAGTTGATGATGATACTTTGTAAAAAGAAAATGCTCTCATTTAACTATAATTAATTATAACATGTACAGTACTTTTAATTGTGATTGTTAATTAAATATTGACTAGAAATAAATTATTGATTTATTTCTAAACATATTCCTCTTGGTGACAGCAAAAGTATACTATTGTTTTCTAACTTCTGGGGTCTAATCCTATGTTTTGCATTTGTCCTTTGTTTCGTATAGCACAGATTAAAATATCATTACATTTTTTTAGAATGTAACTACTGTGTTATACGAGGAATATCTGTAATTGAATTGTTTGTTATTTTAAGTTTTTAATTTAAATAATATTTGTTATTTATTAATAGTTGCTTTAAATGTAATATTTTTTTCAATTTACAGAAGGATATATGACAATGAGTGCAGTTGGTTCATTAACTGTTGATGTCCCTAATTCACTTCCTTCAAAACAGACAAGTTTAGTATCAGATTCACCATCTAATTCTTTGGATCTTCCAAAAGGTTTTGAGGGTTATGTGCCAATGGCTCCAGTTGGAATAACAATACCAACAGATTTGCCTCTTCCCAAAAATATTAATTCAAATTTAAAGCAAGAAGATGGTTATTTGGATATGACACCTTTATCTACATCCTTACCAAAAACAGTCAGTCAGTTACCTGGTGAGTTTTGTAAGTTGATTTTTAATGTACTTTGAAATTTATTTTTTTAAATGTTATTTATTGAAAGGAAAGCTAATTAATGTAAAAATGAATATACTGTGTTAAATAATTTTAACACTTCCCATTTTACTGTTATAATGAAACAAATCTTTATTTTATTTTTTCGGCTGTTATAGAATATAACAGGAAAAGTATGATATTAGTCAAATTTTGATCCCTGGTTTTTTTATATGCTTAGACACTCTAGGAGCTGAAAAATATAAAAACTCCTTACGAAATTGTGTGATATTTTGCATTATATCTCAAAACTGAATGAACCAAAATTTTTAAACTTGGCTGGGTTATTTCTATACATGGAGCATTGATAATGGTAAATTTTGGTGATTAAAGGTCAAGGGGATAGAGGGGTAGAAGTCATATGTTGTCTGGGGTCAGGCTTAATGTAAATTTTACTCATTGGCATTTATAAATTTTTTAAAACCTTGCCAACCCTTAAAATAATGCTTTTGCCTTTTTATAATAATTAATAATAATAATAATAATATAAAAATCAAAAAATCTACATAATCTTTTTTAACCTCCTGCTTGAGTGGCAGGAAAGTTGAGCAAGAGCCCTTGTTGAGTTTTTCTCATTTTAAATTCCAAATTTAAAAATTTTTTATAACACTATTTTGCAGTATTGAATGAAACTTATATTTCAACAAATTAAAGTGTCAGTAACACACACAAATTCAAATATAAAATAGAACTCATTTATTAGAAAGTCCTTTAAAAGCAAGATATTCTAATACATTGGCAAAGTCCTACACATTTTAAAGTAAAGTAGTTTGGATAATAGCAAGTTGCATATTGGCAAGATTTTCCTACTAGAAAGCTATTTTTGTGCACCACCTATGAAATTAGTTTACTTAGTAGCAAGTTTTGACAATGAATGCTCCCCTACCTGTCTCCCTTCATCTAATGAAATGGGTTACATGTCCTGCATCTCCTGTACTGTGTGATAAAGACTGCATTTTCAACCTTGCCAAGGTAAAGAATGGTAAGCAAAAAGCCAAGACATGATTTGCATTTTTTTTATGTTATAAAAGTTATGAAACTGTGCATTTGCTTAAAAGTGGATGGAAGCTAAAAATGTTGCTGAAAAGTTTAGTGAAAAGTTTGTATGAGTCAATAATTTCATGCATAAAAAACAAAGAAGTTGCAAGAGAGTTTCAGCTTGGAAAAAAGGCAACAGCCATGCAGAGATGAAAGTCATGTGATGGAGGAAAGTAATGAAGGAAAGGCAATAAATGAAGTATGATCATGCCTATCCACGCTCAGCATCTGAGGCTTTGGAAACATTGAAAAAATTCCATGAACTCATGATAATGGCTTGACTGCACTGTATTCTTTGTACAAAGTTCTAGGAAGAATTTTTAACAAAACTGTTCATTGATAAAAACAAACTCAGATGTCAGTTATATATTTTTGTAATAAATTTAAATAATTAAGAAATTTATAAATACAATACTGTATTCTGAAGAGAGTTTGTTGGTAGCAAGTTTGCCTATTAGCAAAGGTTTTTCCTGGAGAAAGGGACTTTCTAATAGACAAGTTTTACTGTGTATATAATATGTAAAAATTGCTTGTTGAGAGGATGAGGTTTTGATAATTGATATTTGAAAATTCATGGAAAATCCAAACTATTTTTTAGTAGACAGAAATCTCTCTTAATATTGCAATCCAAATGTGTTCATGAACATGTAATCCTAAAATTTAAAGTCCTAAAGTTTCTTGCTTCAAATTAGAATTTTGTCTTTTCAGTATCTGCTCCAAAACAATTTATAATACTTGCATCTCTGTTATAACAACAATTTTTAATGAAACATGTTTTTGCTTTTTCTAGATTTTATAGTAAATATAATACAAAATAATGCTTTAAAATAGTGTTCCATTAATTTTAAAATGTCTGATATTAGCCAATAATTATTATTAATTATTATTAATTGCTCAGTCTATCAGTAAAATTATTATCGGTGCATCTATAAAATAATTTTTCCTTAAATAAATAAAAAACTTAAGTTCTTGGAAATGTATTTCTGATTTATGAATTTATTTTAATTTTTTAGTTATCTTGATTTGAAATTTTTAAACAAATATTTAATGATCATTTAATACTATTTCTTAGTGTTGGAAGTTCTGAAAGCTTATAACATTAATTTAGTTTATAAAGTATATCTTTAATTATCTATATAAAATATATTCTCTTTAAAATTTTAGGTAGTCAGTATTTGGAAATGTCCAGTCCAACACTCAGGGGAATTGATGATAATATGAATCATTCTCATTTACCCTCTATCAATACACAAGAAGAATTTCATCTTGATAAGGTATGATAAAATTTGATATATGAGAAAAAAAATTTTTATTTTAATCAGTACATTCTTTCATGAAATTTCTAAAATAAGTAATGATTATCATCTTACATTAGTTTGTTTTTCATATACAGTAGAGCATCAATTATCCAACTCAATTGGGGACTCAGGTTGGTCGGATAACTGAAAAAATCGGATAACCGAATAGAATGAAAAAAATACATTATTAGTATAGTATATTAGTATATCCCATGTAATTAGTATATTAGTAAATCGCTATTAATTAGTATATTAGTATATCATTAACCTACTTCACGTTAAATTTTCATCAATGTTAAACCTAACAAAATTTTTAAAAAATAATAATCATCGCTATTGTATCGTTAAATATTATTTTTAAATTATTTTATTGTTCACAAAACAAACAACCACTCATAATTAGAAAATTAAGTCCTGTTTAAATACTGGCCTCCCTTCAATGGTCGAGCCAGTGTTGCCAGCTAAAATACGCAAAAATTTAACAAAAATAATATTAAAGTAGCCAAGACATAGCCAAATATTGTAGCGCCACATCACTAGCGGACATTTGAAATTTGCTGACTAGAACGGTTGGTTAATCGAGGGTCGGATAATCGATGCTCTACTGTAGTTTCATAATAGGAACTGAGGATTAGTCAAATGAAAACCTTAAAATAATTGTTAACTTTCTTTAGTGCAAATATGTTTCTATATTTACATCACATTTTGATATAACTTATGTTATTCTCTAGAAGTGGTATATTAGCATGTCTTGGTTTCCTGTGAAAAAGACTTTTGGGGTTACATGTGAAGCCTTGTTTTAATTATTTTATTTTATTGTTTTTTTCAGTTGCTAAAAATCTTCATGTAACAACTGTCTCTCTCTCTCTTCATTTATTTGGAATTATGCATTAGTTTATAATTTCCCACAAATGAATTTTTTTCAACTTAAGCACTGAAAGTATCACTTTTAAGATTATGAAAAGATTTTCATTTTTTCTGACTATGAATATTTAAAAAATATTTGAAAATGAATTCTTACTAATGTTATAATTTTTAGTAGGTTATCTTTACTATCTTCAAGATAGAACACATGTATTTTTGAGAGAGATAGTGGTGCTAAATGCATTTTATGGTAATTTTGTTCCTTTAATAATGAAGCAACCCCATTGGAAATTTTTAATGATTTGTGATAATTTGCATATCATTATTAGTTTTATAGTCTGTTTAGATACTTACTTCTCCAATCAGGAAGAGGCCCTAATATTGCAAGTTCTATATCTACTGTATATTTTTTATTCCAGTTTGATACAAAGAACATGCACAAATATTTTGCCTACTCTAATAGTTCTGCAATCTGTTGTAACAAAATATTTATATATTGTGGTTTTACTGCTTTCTTTTATTCTTTACACTCTCATCATATATTTCATTAAGTGTGCTTAAAATAGTATAAGGCATTGCATTTATAAGAAGGTTTTCACAAACTAGATGGAAAGTTAAATAATTGCCAGATTACATTGTGCTATACTACTGCTACTAATTACCAATTAAATGTCAAGTAATTTGGACTAGAGCTAGGTGTTAGGCACCATCTCTTATATAATTATAATTAAATTTCTTAAGAGATGGTGCCTAACACCTACCTCTAGGACAGCACTTCCCAACTTTTTATCACATAACCCTTTTCACCTTAGTAAAAAATGTTGGAACCCTGATAATTTTTAATAATTATAGATGAAACAGCAAATAAAAACACCAAAAACAATTTATTGAAAATGCAAACAAAAAAAAAAAGCTAGATTAATAATGGAAAGCAAATATTATTACTTAATTGAAACTGGTCATTAATGTGAAGGATTAAACTTCTTTTCTTTCAATATTTTAAACAGTGCTAATGCCTAGATTTGTACCTTTGTTTCTGTTACTATAAATTTATACAATTCCCATTATATTTTTTGTGAAAAATACTTAAACTATCACAAAACGATTGCCATGCAAAATTCTACTCTTTGACATATATACCTGCTTGTATACTATATCGTTGCACTACAACACACTGCAGACAATGGAACATGAATTAATTTAATTAACACCTTGGTGAAATGTAATGCTTATCTGATAAGTGAGTGTCCCATTGTTAGTATCATAGTATGTGCTGTACAGTACAGTACCATCAGGCATCTGACTGGCCACTCTTGTCATTACATTCAACAGGCTTGTGCTGCAGATATTGATGGATTAAAGCATATTTTATGATTGTATTATTATTTATATGTTAGATACTTTTTACAGTTACTTTCTTAATGAATTTCTAGCTTTTATGGTTTTCATTATCTTTTCAAACATTATATTTCAATTTTGATTTGTTCTGTAACCAATAGATCAGTCCCCACTGTTTATAAAGCTATAAATAACTCTAGCACATGTATAGGATGTCATAAGAGGATTCAGTCAGAGACTAGAATAATTACACCTCATATCCCAAATCTCATTGGCACATTTATACATTACTTGACTTAATGGATTTTATTTTGGAATCCCAAACTTTACAGAACAGAACCCTAGAGTTCTGCAGAACACAAGTTGGGATCCTCTGCTTTAGACCAAATTGCTTGACATTTAATTGATAATTAGTAGCATTAATATAGCTCAATGTAATCTGGCTTTAATCTAACAATTGGGTTTATAGACGTTTATATTTGTACCTTCCTGTAATAACTATCTTGTATTTGTTATTTAATAACTATTTTTAGCCTATAACTTTCACAAGAAATTACTCCTCATTTGATTTCCTTTCTTGGTACAGATCTCTGATCCTTATGGGTTAAATACATGATCTTTGTTGATATATCAAATAATTGGATATGAAGATTTTGAACAAAAGTACTATGATGGTTAATGTCTTTATTTACAAAATAAAAACTGTTACAATGGATAAAGTTTAGGAACCCATGACACTTGCATTCTATTATGGAAGAAACTTATACTATGTACATGTTGTCTTTATCCACATTTCAAAATTTTAGTTTTTTTTGTATTTTTTAAGTCCAAACAAAAGTCAGTACATAACTTCATTCATACAAAAACTTTGTTTAATAGTAAATATTATATAAATCTTTCATTTGTCTTTCAATTTATAAAAGCATAAAACTTTAATCTGTCTTACTTCAGTTAGTATTGAAAGTTTTTATATTATATTGAATTAAGTTGAATTATGATGGCAGAATGTTTATATTTCAAGAGATAGAAGGAAACTTTTAAAAAGTTTTCAGTTTCTAGAATTTGAATTTTATTTTAGCAACATATGTTTTATATGAAGTAAAAGTAAATTTTAATGAAACCTTTTTATAGTTAAGTACAAATAACAAAGTATTTTTTCTTTAACTTATTTAAATTTATATACATAGGTGTTTCAAAAAGTTTGTGGACAAAATCTGTAACTAAAAATTGTTTGGAAGGATTTTGATTTCAATGCACCTGAACATTCTTGTACCAACGTGTTCTTACCTAAAATTTAAGGGTTCATGTTTAAACATGAACCCTTAAATTCAGGTAAGAGCACAGCGCTGCCAGTTGAAAGTCAAGCACCATTTAAGCAACATGGAATCCACCAAAATCGAGACCAGAACAAACATAAAATTCATGGTGAAACTTGGTTGGGAGAATAGGCAAATCATTGATGCTCTGAAACAAGTTTATGATGATAATGCTCCAAAGAAGTCAACAATCTATTATACAAATAGATAAGTCACTGAAAGGTACCAATTTTCCATCAGTTGAAGATATAAAAAGAGCTGCTCTGACATGGTCACAGATCACAAGACCCTCAGTTCTACTCAGACAAACTTAAAGGCTGGTATCAATGTTTGCAGAAGTGTATTGACCTTAATGGAGCATATGTTGAAAAATAAACATCATAACTGAAATCACTTTTTCATACTATCCTTTTTTCCATGAACTTTTTGAAGCCCCCTTGTAATTCAATATTAAAATAAATTAATGTATATGTAATTTTTGTATTAATTCAAATTAATTGAAATGTGTTATTGCACTATAGGTAAAGTCTTATTTTTCACCATCTGAAGATGATTCTGATGACTATATTAAACCTGTCAGAGCTTATTCTATTGGAAGTCGTCCACAGGTATGCAGCTTGCAATATTGTTTAATGTTATTAAAATTTATTTATTTTAGAAATAATCAAAATGAAAAATTGGTAATTTTTTTTTAATTAGTAATTTTTTAATAACTTTACTTCTTGCTCTTACATTATTATTTAACTTATTTGTACATAAAAGAAGATTGTTGTAATTTATATTTCCTTTCCTAATTTTTGTGTGTGTGATAAACCCCGAAATGTAAACTACAATGGTCTTCATTTATGTAAGAATAAATTAAATAATAATTAGCAATTTTTTATTTAATATTTTAGATTATTGACATTCCTTAATTGAAGGAATATTTAATTTATAAACTGTTTAGCTTTGATATTTGATTACCTAGCCTTTTACTGATCAATGTTCTTATTTTGGAACATAGTTAAAACTTTCATTTTTCCAGTTTTCTTTGCAAGACAAAAGCATAATTTTTATTTAGTGCTATAGATTATGTTTTATAATTATTTTACAAATATTGCTGAATATTATATATAATTTTGCTGAAATATTAATCTAAAATTATAAATTAAAACAATTTCATATATGTAATATTGATTTTATTATTTCATTAATATTCATATTTTATAAAATTATTTTAATGATTTATAATCAATAAAGTATACATTATAAGATGCCACTTAAAGAATATGTACAACATTCGGAACTCCTCAGTGCATGATAAAGTTGCTTTGTTCCCAATAGGGGAACGTTAGCATTGTCTTTGCATAAAAAAATTAGCTTTTTGTCCAGTATGTGATAAGTAGTGATGGGATAATACCAAAATTTCTCTCGATTCCTATCCTTTTGAATACTTTCTAAAGTTTAGTTTAGTTTAGAAAAATTAATGATTTACAATGTGAGCATGGTTCATTAATCAATTAACAAACATCAAGCTTAAGAATTGAAAATGATTGGGAAATCCAAAATTAATCTTTTGAAAGAAACCTGAAAATTCTATATGTGGATATGCATGCTTTTATTGTATAGTTCAAAATAAATTTGTAATCTTATTTCAGATGAAGTTAATATTTCAACACTTCCCTCAAAGAAATTATAAATGATTCCGTTTTACTCAAAGAACTTTCCCATCATGTCATCTAGAGTTGCCATCTTTGGAAACTGGCTTTGCTAGCTGACATGTTGAAGCAGAGGGGAGAAGATAAATGAGAAATTGCGCTTCTTTATTCATACTTCTCTGCAATTGGTATGTCTCATAAATGCTTTGATTTCATCATATTTAACACTAAATGATGATCAGCAAATGATGCAATGACCTTGACAAATATCATCATCATCATCATCATCACAAGTTACCCAGTTTTTGAATTCATTCACTTGAGCCAGATTTGTACAGTATAGTTGTGTGAACTTTTCTTCAAGGAAAAGAAGAATCAGATGAATATTTAGCACTGACTACATGAAAGAAAAATCTGCCATAACAAATGTTGCTTTGTCTGTGGGGTGTTATGCATTCTCTTCTTTGTCAATGTGAAAGCTTCCAATAAACTAATACTTAATTGTTAATAATGTAATTTTAAAAATTTTCAATCTTTAACTGAAACAAATAATTTTCTTACTAAATGTGAAAGAATCATTTTAAGAATCAGAAATCATGATGAGATTTGCTTGATTCTGATTACTAGAAAATTCCCAATTTTCCAATTTTAATTAATTGTCCCATCATTAGTAATAAGATGTCAAAAAACTTCTTTAGCTACTTACTAGCAATTCAGTTATGATGTAGACTTTAAAATGTGCTTTGGAATATCCGAAGAAGAAAGTAAATAGTTCTTGAAGTTATTGCTTGTTCTTAATTTCCTAACACGTCGGGTTGAATATAAAAGTGACTTACTTAAACCAAATAACTTGAGCGTTTATGTTCTATTATTGCAAACGTTTTTGACACCCATCTGGGTTCTTCCTCAGGCTTCTAGGTATATTTGTTCCAAGCTGGCCGTTAAATTTTGAACTTTATTTGAAAGGTATTTGATTCCAGATGCCAAATGTGCATGCATTCCGAGACATAAACGCTTTGGTTATTTGGTTTAAGTAAGTCGATTTTATATTGCTTGTTCATACTTACCATTCCTTGCCTATTGAAAATGACTACTGGTCAACTGCAGAGGATCTCTCAGCTCCAATTTTTGGCTAAATTATGAGCTGAGAGAGGTTTTGCAGTATAAAAAGATGCTTTTATATTTCTGACAATCAAAACATAGATCTTCCGAAAGTCACCAAAGTTTATGAAACTTTGTATACTCAGTTTCAGCAGTTTGATATCTTCCATCAGTGTTTGATTATTGATGTAGAAATGGTATCTTACCATGGTCTTCATTCAGCTAAAATGTTTATTTAAAAACAAACCTATAAGGTTCAGATTCAAAATTTGGATGTTATGTGGAGTTGAACAGATATCCTTACAACATGCAAATTTATTGTGGAAGGAGCAATGCTGATAACACTCCACTGGGAAGTTGAGTAATATGCAATTTGTTGAATGCAGTGCATGATCTGGAGTCATGCATTTTCTTTGACAGTTTTTTCACTAGCCATGAACTTTTGCTACAACTTTCAAACAAGGAATTCTGAGCATTTGGTACAATTGAAGAGAATCATACTTCAAAATGTTCACTTTCTTCCATCAAAAACATGAAAAAACTGAGAGGGTCATATGGCTATTGTTCAGATGGAAAAGTGATCTGCATGAAATCAGATAATTCCATTGTAATAGTAGCCAACTACTATACAATAACTTATTTTAATAAATACATATATCAATTTTAATAAAATAAGCATTATTAAATTTACAAAAAAAAAAACAAAATATATACAGATAGCCCTTGCTTAATGTGGGATTTGATTAATTAAGATAAGGTGTGAAATAAATTGCAACAATCCCTTTGTATATGCAGCAAAAGTTTTAATTAATGCAGCTTTAACAGCTATCTCTACTTAACATAAATGTGTTTTTCTCAGAAAAGTAAGGTATTGGTGAATTTGCTATTTTCATGCTGAGGGTAATTTCCAAGGTATGTAGTTTAATTACAATAGTTATGAAATTTAAGACATTACTGCTAACATGATATTTCAGTCTGTGTTTAGAAGCTTATTTTAAAACTTTACTTCATGTTTTGTTTGCATAAAATCAAATTGAAATGTCTGCAGATAAAATGCATATCAAGCATATTATGTATACTTTTTAAGTTTTGTAAAGAATATAATGCTATACAAAATGTAAAAAGTACTCTGTGTTTATGGGGAAGATGCTCCTAAACATTGGACATGTCAAATGTGGTTTTGGAAGTTTTATTTGGGAAATTTTGAACTAAAGGATACAAAACATACAGGACGCCCAAAAATTGTTAAGAGAAATTGTTAAAAATCAATGAATAACAATTCTTGAACTTGGAAAAAATCTTAGTGTATCACTGACATGATGATTGCATTCCATATGCATTAAGTGGAAAAAAACTGGATTAAGTATAATTTTGTCTGACGAAGGAAGGCAGCTCTAAGGTTTTATTTTATTTTTAAATTAGTTACTCATTTTTGATATATGTATTTATTAAAATAAGTTATTGTATAGTAGTTGGCTACTATTACAATGGAATTATCTGATTTCATGCAGATCACTTTTCCATCTGAACAATAGCCATATGACCCTCTCAGTTTTTTCATGTTTTTGATGGAAGAAAGTGAACATTTTGAAGTATGATTCTCTTCAATTGTACCAAATGCTCAGAATTCCTTGTTTGAAAGTTGTAGCAAAAGTTCATGGCTAGTGAAAAAACTGTCAAAGAAAATGCATGACTCCAGATCATGCACTGCATTCAACAAATTGCATATTACTCAACTTCCCAGTGGAGTGTTATCAGCATTGCTCCTTCCACAATAAATTTGCATGTTGTAAGGATATCTGTTCAACTCCACATAACATCCAAATTTTGAATCTGAACCTTATAGGTTTGTTTTTAAATAAACATTTTAGCTGAATGAAGACCATGGTAAGATACCATTTCTACATCAATAATCAAACACTGATGGAAGATATCAAACTGCTGAAACTGAGTATACAAAGTTTCATAAACTTTGGTGACTTTCGGAAGATCTATGTTTTGATTGTCAGAAATATAAAAGCATCTTTTTATACTGCAAAACCTCTCTCAGCTCATAATTTAGCCAAAAATTGGAGCTGAGAGATCCTCTGCAGTTGACCAGTAGTCATTTTCAATAGGCAAGGAATGGTAAGTATGAACAAGCAATATAAAATCGACTTACTTAAACCAAATAACCAAAGCGTTTATGTCTCGGAATGCATGCACATTTGGCATCTGGAATCAAATACCTTTCAAATAAAGTTCAAAATTTAACGGCCAGCTTGGAACAAATATACCTAGAAGCCTGAGGAAGAACCCAGATGGGTGTCAAAAACGTTTGCAATAATAGAACATAAACGCTCAAGTTATTTGGTTTAAGTAAGTCACTTTTATATTCAACCCGACGTGTTAGGAAATTAAGAACAAGCAATAACTTCAAGAACTATTTACTTTCTTCTTCGGATATTCCAAAGCACATTTTAAAGTCTACATCATAACTGAATTGCTAGTAAGTAGCTAAAGAAGTTTTTTGACATCTTATTACTAATGATGGGACAATTAATTAAAATTGGAAAATTGGGAATTTTCTAGTAATCAGAATCAAGCAAATCTCATCATGATTTCTGATTCTTAAAATGATTCTTTCACATTTAGTAAGAAAATTATTTGTTTCAGTTAAAGATTGAAAATTTTTAAAATTACATTATTAACAATTAAGTATTAGTTTATTGGAAGCTTTCACATTGACAAAGAAGAGAATGCATAACACCCCACAGACAAAGCAACATTTGTTATGGCAGATTTTTCTTTCATGTAGTCAGTGCTAAATATTCATCTGATTCTTCTTTTCCTTGAAGAAAAGTTCACACAACTATACTGTACAAATCTGG